CAGTGGTTCATGAAAACATTATAGTCTCATTAGTTATAATAGAAAAATCCAAATATTCAGTCATGACAGGTGATTAAGAACAGCCTTGCATGCATTGTAGCCTCCAGTTATGAAGACTACACACTCTTAAGTAATATTTTGTAGTAACAACGTGGCTACAACATGGGGTGGCAGTCTCATTAGAACAACAATATTCTGCCTGGGGAGCCATACTAGAAAGAAAATGTTACTGATGATCAAAGTAAATTGACAGGAATATGAATGTTTATTGTGTTGATTTTCTGAAGTATGAGTTTGTTACTTTCATGATCATTATCAAATAAGTAAAATTATAGCACTATTAATTATAAATTCCCCGTTAAACACAGATCCTTACAGTTTCTCTGCTTTTTTTAATTTTTTATTCATTTTACATACCAACCACAGTTCCCCCTCCCTTCCCTCCTTCCACACCCACCCCACCCCAAGTTCCTCTGATTTTAATAGCATTTCGTGATTGCTCACATTCGGGACTGAAATTCTGAAGAATAATCTTGTGGATAAATAAAAGGAGAAATGTAAAGCAGCCCATCTCTTATTCCTGCCCAAGTGTAAGAGAGGGATCTGAAAGGACAGGGAGTCATAAACAAATGGCCACAGCCTCCAGGCCGAGAGGCCTACCTATGCAGGAGTAGTAGGGACAGCTGCTGAAGCCACCCTGCCCAGGTTCTCCATCTGTGAACAAAGTGTTCCTGCTTCATGATGTTCAAGATATGATTAAATTAATAATAAAAAGAATGAGACTTTGCATTTGTGGCTGCATACAGGAACAACACTGGCAGAACAGTAGGCAGTTGGATGCCCAGCTGCATACTCCCTGAAGATGGCAGAAAGCGGAGTAAAGCCAGGTCTTCCCTGAGAGTTGGGAAAGCCGGCTGAAAGCATTGCTCTCCTACGGATGCTATAACAAGTTACCACAAAGAGCAGCAAACAACGGGAGTGTGTTCTCTCACAACTCTGTAGGCAGTTGTGGAGTCAGAAGGTTTAGTATGCTCACATTTCCTCAAAGGAGAAACCATTCCTTGCTTTTTCCTGCACCTGTTGTCTGCTGGTATTGCTGGTGTCCTTGGTTAGAACCATGGCCATGAAGGAAGAGAAAGATCACAGGCCTAAGGAGAAGCAAGTGACCCTGTTCACGCCTCAGGATGCCACAGGCAGCAGGGCTGAAGCTACTGCTGAAGATGCCAAAGGGGAAGATAAGCAAGATTGCAACAGGGAGAAGGAAGAAGCTTTAAGCAAAGTGGTAATTCGAGGATTACCTCCCACTTTGACCAAGGAGTAGCTTCAGGAACATCTTCAACATATGCCTGAGCATGATCATTTTGAGTTTTTTTCCAATGATACTAGTCTGTATCCTTTAAAAACCAAGAAGGCATTATTTTATTCAGGGACCAATTTAATGACTTTGTATTCCTCGACAATAAAGGTCAGGAATATCATGCTATAGTAGAATTTGCACTTTTTCAAAAAGCAGTAAAAGAGAAGATTAAGAAAAGAGATGCAAAAGTTGAGACTATCAATGATGATCCAGAATACAGAAAATTTTTGGAGAGTTATGCCACAGACAAAGAAAAAATGACATCTATTCCAGAGAAATTGCTGGAGGAAATAAATAGAAGCCAAAAATTGAAAATTAATAGCTAAAAGGACAACCCAACTTTTGAGACTTCTGAAGAACAAGCAGTGAATGAGAGAAGAAAGGAGGGAGGAAAGGAGGAGACAAGAAATAGAAAGGGAAAGGCGATGAGAAGAAGAGAGAAGAAAATGGAAAGAAGAGGAAAAACAAAAAGCTAAAGAAGATAGAGTTCCAGAAAGGGAAAAAAAACAAAGGATGAACCAAAGATTAAGCTGCTCAAGAAATCAGAAAAAGGAGATGAAAAAGACCTTGATAAAAGAGACAAAGCCTAGAAAATGGACAAAGAGAATCTGAATGAAGAAAGAGCCAGTGGGCAAAGTTGTACTCTGCCCAGGCGTTCTGTTGTCGAACTGAAGGATGAAGAACCAAAGAGGCCTGATGATGAGAATGCCAGAGATTACAGGGACAGGGATCGGGATTATGAACGAGAGAGGATGAAGCAGCAAAAAGAAGAACGCTGGAGGCAGAAGCAGAAGGAGCGCTATGAGAAAGAGAAGGCTTTCAAACGAAAGGAAGAGGAACTGAAGAGAGAAAAAGAAGCACTTCAAGATAAAGTGAAGAAGAGTGAGAATATAGAATCAATATGCACCTCAGAAAAAGGTGAAAAGAAAGAGGAAGTGGTTAAGAGAGATTGCATAAGGAACAAGGATCATCCAGCAATGCAGCTGTACAATTGGGAGCTCAAAGCCGAAATCGACTCTGTCCCCCTGATGACAACACCAAGCCTGAATATTCCCCAGTGGACAGAAAGCAGGAAAGTGGTAGTAGCCATAGAAAAGAAAGAGAGGAGTGAGAAGTCCCAATGATCATAGGTGTCCTGAATGTCCAGGCAGCCAAAGCGCACGTATTATGCTATCCAGAAGTGCCTTCAGGGCAAAGGGACAAGGAAAGGGGTCGCTGTGCTGGTGGGATGCACCACAGAGGAATGTAGTGTGTATAAGCAGGAATAAGATTGCAGGCTCAGAATCGGAAGTACAATTTCATTGTTTTTTGCAGTTTTCACAAGTTAATGTTAATGTCTCAGAAAAAGACAATAGCAAGAACATTGCAAGTGCAACATAAGGGCTTTGTATGACACAAGTGAAAAAGGATCAGGGTCTAAAATCAACGGGTGTTCTTAATCCTGGCTTAGAGTAGCTTAGCTTGAGTGAAGCTGAAACACACAAAGTTTTGTCGGGGTCTAACTATTTTGCATTGTTGGTGATAACAATTGACTCTGTAGTGTAGAAGCAGCAAGCATGTAATCATAGCACAAGTGAGTGGAAGATAGAGCAGATAATGGCTGATGGAAAAGATTTAAATAGTCATGTTACATCTATATCCTGTGTCTAAAGTTCTTGTAATTATAGCTTGTTTTGTCTACTTCTGTGAACTTAGTATCAAAAAAAATGTAAATGTCCCATTTTGCCTTTAGCAATTTTTTCCTATGAATAGGTGAAGTGCAGTCTTTGGTTAGCTGTTGACAGTCTGGTATTTGTTCAATCTTAGGTCTGATGAGTTGAATGCACTTTCTCCAGGAAGAAAACTACACTAACATATCTGTTCCTATTAAACAGCAGCTTTCAGTCTTAGCTTGTTTTGTATTGCTATCAATAAATTTTGAATGAAGAAGAAGAAGAAGAAGAAGAAGAAGAAGAAGAAGAAGAAGAAGAGGAGGAGGAGGAGGAAGGAGGAGGGGGAGGAGGAGGAGGAGGAGGAGGAGGAGGAGGAGGAGGAGGAGGAAGAGACGGCAGCTCTGGGAAGTGTTTCCTCAGAGTCAGCACACAGAAGCTGTGTTCCAGAGGTGGCCAAGGCTGGCAGTCAAGTTTGGTTTAATGTAAGAATCTCCCAGGTGGTACTGGATTTGAAGGCATGAAGGGGTCATGGAAAGCAGCTGAGGCTTGGCACTGTGATGATGGAGGAGAATCATCTGTCTATGTGTTACTTTCATTGGTTAATAAAGAAACTGCCTTGGCCTTTTGATAGGGCAGGATTTAGAAAGGTGGAGTAGACTGACAGAATGCTGTGAGGAAGAAGGCAGTGAGGCAGACGCCATGAGCTCCAGCCCAAGATGGACGTAGGCTAGAATCTTTCCTGGTAAGCCACCACCTCGTGGTACTACACAGATTAATAGAAATGAGTTAATCAAAATGTGAGAATTATCCATTAAGAGGCTGGAACTAATGGGCCAGGCAGTGTTTAAATGAATATAATTTGTGTGTTGCTATTTCGGGTGTAAAGCTAGCCATGTGGGAGCTGAGCGGGACAAAAAGCAGGCCTGCTCGCCTCATCACTACACTGTGAGTGGTCAGGAAAGGCCAATGGTGAAACTGCAGATGGAATAGCAGTGGAAGACCCAAAATTAGAGGGGTTATGCAGAAGGTCGAAGATTTGCACCAAGAAGAGAGCCCAGGAGGAACTACTGGTGAATATGAAACCCAGTTGCAGAAGAAGACACCAGCACTGAGATGCCAATACCATGCAATGACCACCAAGAACAGTGACAGCCCTAGAGTGCACCCAGCTGAAGCCTAGAAGACAAACAGTATGTGCTGCAGAGAGCAGAGCCAAAGGAGAGTGTATGTGAATCCCATATACCGGCACTGAGTAATTTATACTGTTGAAGTTTGGTTTTATCTTTATCTGATTGTGATTGTGCCCTGATTCTTCCTTCTTGAAATAAAAAGGTATTTGACTTCTTTTTTTAATTTTACTAATTTATGTATTTTACACCCTGACCAGTTTCCCCTTCCTCCTCTCCTCCCATTCCCTCTCCTCATCTCTCCTTCACGACCCCCATCCACTCCTTTTCTGTTTTTCTTTAGAAAGGGGCAGGCTTCCCATGGGTATCAAGAAAGCATTACATATCATGATGTCTCAGCCTGTGAGGTGCACCTGCATGCAAATGTGTGCATAAACACACATGCACACTTAAAAATAAAAATAGAATCTAAAGCAACAATAAAAAGTAAGTAAAAAGCAAACTAGGGTATGCCTGTAATTCTAACACTGGCAGACTGAGGCAAGTGGATTGACCCAAATTCTGGGCTACTATAGGCTTCAGAATGAGTCTCTGTCTCAAAAACAAGTCATAAAGCAATTTCAGAACAGCACAAACAAGAAAACAGTATCATGGCTATCTCTGGAGAAACCAGACAGAATGCTGATGGAAGTAAAGAAATTGCAAGATCAATTTTTTTCTATGAATTTTATGCTGAATGATGTTGATGTATTTAATATCTCTTAAAAATAAATTTTAAAAAAATGAATTTTAAATTGATAGTTATTCAAGTGCATATGCTAAATCTCTAAGGTTTACTGCTAGACCAGGTATAATCACACTTACATTTGTAGTTCATGGAGCCAATATAAAGTTTTAGCCATCGTGCGCCCGTCATTAAAATGAGGTGTTGGGACTCCATACAAGTTAAACCTATGGAAACTTTCTGGGTTATATGCTCGATTCTTTGCTTCTCCTGTGGGTGGTAAGAGCAGGGAAGAAGATTTCTGAGTTAAACACCAAAACTAAACAAAAACAAAACCTTATCTTAGGGATAGCACACTGTGTTCTCATTGGCATTGGATGAGTGGGACAAAGAGTGCAACTGTACCTATACGGGGAGCTGTGCAGACTCGGCTGCAGATGGCAAAGACCCTTCTCTACCCATGCTGCAACTCCATCATGGGATGTTACATACAGAGCTCCTTGTGTTCATGTTTGCCAGGTGTTGTGGCATATGACTGTGATCTCTATACACAGAAAGCTGACCTAAACACAAGGACAGTGAGTTCTAGTCCTGCCTAAGCTACATAGTGAAATCATGTCTCAAAAAGCCAAAAAAAATAAAGTTGTAAAGCTCTAAATAACATACATACATACATATGTACATACATACATACATACATACCCATAAACAACCTAAAACCAGTAAGACTAATAACTGAATTCAGGAAGGCAGCAGGCTATAAAATCAACATATAAAATTAACTGTGGGGGTTTCTGCAACTACCAGGGCTGGCAACTGATGATCCACGTTCTGGTTCAACACAACTCAGTAGCCAGTGTTGGGTTAAACTTCTACTGTCTGAAACAGAACAGTTTATTGCATGTATATTTAAGTACAGTACAATTTGGAAAAAAAGTTTTTGGTGTAACACACTACTGTGCTCACAAGGAGGCATAATCACATCAAAAAATTACATGTCACTTCTTCTATAAGGATACGTGTATTATCTTAAGGTGTCTAGGAAGCATATGGTATGGCCTCAGACATACAAATACTACAGAGGTCTTCTGGGCTATTAGTCACCTCCAATCCTTCTTGTGGACAGTTAGGTATGGCCTGACCCTACAGGTATCACAAATACTTGGCTATTAACCACCTCCATTCTCAGCTTCCTGAGTGGAAAAACAGGACATACATCTCCCCCTTTGAAGAGACTATCCTAGCCGGGTGGTGGTTACACACGCCTTTAATCCCAGCACTCAGGAGGCAGAGGCAGGCAGATCTCTGTGAGTTTGAGGCCAGCATGGTCTACAAGAGGCAGTTCCAGGACAGGTTCCAAAGCTACAGAGAAACCTTGTCTCATAAAAACAAAACAAAACAAAAAAGAAAAAAAAAGAAAACAGGAGTTTGGAACTAGCCTGAACAATATAGTGAGACTCCATTTCTTTTAAAAAATTATGTTTGCATTTATTTGTAGCAAGCTTTCTTGGTGGACAACCCCCAAATATTGACACCGAGACTTATTATTATGAAAGTTTGACCTTTTAGCTTATGTTTGTCATCAACTCAAATTAGCCTGTTTCTATTAATCTGCATTCCGTTGTGTGGCTCAATTACCTCTGTTCTGTACTGTATGTCCAACTTCTTGTCTCCTGGCATCTCTCTGGTATAATCCAAGTGCCCAATCTTAATAACTACTTCTAAGGTTGGTCACAATTTAGACTCCAAACCAAGCTTTAACAAATACAAAAATATTGAAATAATTCCCTTCCTCATACCAGACTACAGTTATATGAAATTAGAAATCAACAAATGACTAATCTCAGATATGATACAAATACGTGGAGACCAAACAATATGCTTTTAAATGATCAGTGATTCGTTGAAGAAACTAGAAAGCAAAATTTTAAATTCCTAGAATCAAATTAAAACAACAGAACAGACTGCCAGAATCTCTGGGATATAGCTGTCTTAAGAAGAAAATCTGTAGCCACAAAGATCATATTTAAAAAAAAGTCATGACTGGATGGCATGATGCAGTCCAGCACTTGGAACACAGAGGCTAAGTCTACATAGCAAGTAATAGGCCAGCCAGGGCTCCACAACAAGACTTTCTATCAAAAGAAAAGAGAATTCAGAGACAAAAAAATAGAGCTCAACGTTCTAGAGGAAAAGAAAAAAAAAAGGCAACTAACCCCAAAACAATAAAATCCATCAAGAAATAACAAAATTAATGAAATGCTGATGAAAAGAATATATAGAATTAACCAAACCAAATGTTGATTCCTTGTAAAAATCAACAAGATTGATGGGTCCCTAGACAAACAAACCAAAAGAAAAAGAACACAAAAATTAATAAAATGGTAAAAGAGAAGAGTACCTTGGTAGTGGAGCGCTTGCCTAACATGCTGAGGCACTAGGTACAATCCTCAGTACTCCAAGCAAAAGTTATAAGTTAAATTTAGTTCATGACAAAAAGAAACAAAAGCTGTCATAAGTGACACTGACTTTGACTCCAAAACCTGGAAAAGTTAGAAGAAATGGGAAGTAGCAGTATTTTCAAATGAAATAGTATAAATAAGAACTCTAAAATCTCCATCAGGAACCACAACTGATAAACACTTCCAGCAAAGTAGTAAGATACAAAATTACACAAAAAATTCAGCAGCCTTTCTATATATCAATGACAGATTGAGAAAGAAGTAAAGAAAACAATACCTTTCTCTCTCTCTCTCACACACACACATATATATGTGTGTGTGTGTGTGTGTATGTATGTATATATATATATATATATATTACATATAGAGAAAGATAGTATTGTGTAACTCCAATGAAGCAAGTAAAAGAAAACTTTAAGACATTAAGGAAAGAGATTAAAGAATGTATCAGAAGAGGAAAAAGGTCTCCCATGCTCATAAATAGGTAAAGGTAGGAGGAATATAGAGAAACAGCCATGTTACCAAAAGCAATCTACAAATTCAATGCCATCACCATCAAAATTCCAACACAATTCTTCACAGATCTTGAAAGGGCAATTTTCAGATTCATATGGAAACACACACAAAAAAAGAAGAAAAGAAAAAAGATAGCTAAAACAACCCTAAATAATAAAAAGAACTGCTAGAGGTATCACCTGCCCCCAATTTCAAGTTGTATTATAAAGCTATAGTAATGAAAATCAGCATGGCATTGGCTTAAAAACAGATACTTTGGTCAATAAAATTGAATTCAAGACCCAGATATAGGTCCATGTATTTCTGGACACCTGATATTTGATAAAAAGATCAGAAATAAACATGGAAAAAAAGAAAGACAGCATCTTCAGCAAATGATGCTGGTCAAATTGGATTGCTGCACATCAAAAAATGCAAATAGATTTATATCTCTCACCGTGTATACAACTGAAGTCAAATGGATTGAGGGTCTGAACAGAAGGCCAGATATCCTGGTCTGTCTGATAGAAGACAAAGTGAAAAATAGTCTTAAAGTTCTTGGCACAGGAAAAGACTTTCCGAACATAACACTGATCACACAGGCACTAAGAACAACAATTAATATATAGGACTTCATGAAACCAAAAATCTTCTGTATGGCAAGGATACCATCATTCAGACAAAGTGGCAGTCTACACAATGGACAAATATCTTTACTAATTACAACAACAGACTTAAGTCAATACCTAAAATAGATAAAGAACTGAAAAACAGGATATCAAAGAAACAAATAACCCAATTAAAAATTGAACTACAGAAGTAAGCATGGAGTTTATTAAAGATAAAACACAAGTAGTTGACAAAGAAATGTTCAACATCCTTAGCCATCAAGGAAATGCAAATAAAAACTGCTTTGAGATTCCATCTTACTCCAGTCAGAATGGCAATGAATAATTAAAGCAAATGTCAGCTTGTGCTGGGTAATTATTTATACAGTATGGGTAAGGATATGGGAAAAGAGGAGCACTCATCCATTGCTGATGGGAGTGTAAACTTGTACAGCCACGACGGAAATCAGTGTGGTGATCCAGCTATACAACTGCAGGGCCTATATACAAAGGACTCAATATCCTACTACAAAGACTCATCCATTTTCACTGCTGCTCTATTCATAATAGCCAGAAACTTTAAACAGCCTAGATGTCCATTATTTGATGAATGAATAAAGAAAATATGATGCATTTGCACAATGGAATATTACTCAGCTGTTAAAAATGAAATCATGAAATTCTCAAATAGATGGCTGGAACTAGAAAAAAATCAACTTGAGTGAGATAACACAGACCCCCCAAAATAAACATACTATGTATTTACTTATTTATGGATGCTAAGCTATTAAGTTCTCAATAATTGGTTACTATCCATATAATTACTGAGGTTAGGTGTAGACTAAGGGATTGGGGGCAGGGAAGAATCAAGGAAGGGGAAGTAGAATATTTAGTTAGGCATGGGCAAGGGGTAATCTGAATGGGAGAATTAAATGGAGACAGTGAAGAATGAGGGGGTAAGAGAAGAAAAACTGAAACTAAGGACCATTTGAGGCATCATATGGAAACCTAATACCATAGACGTTTCTTAAAATAAATATACATAAGAAAAAATGTAAATTGTGTCACCAAATAATGGAGAGACAGTGCCCCAACTGGACTTTTCTTGTCACCAAATGAAATCTCTAGTGTCAGGGATGGGTAACATCTAATTGAGTTGTTGGTCAAGAGGGCCCCAGGGAAATCACCAAACAAATCAAGCTATTTCTAAGGCTACTGGCTCTCGACAAACTGATGGTAAAGCCCTATTTTTTTAAGACAATACGTATACAATCACTGAACATGGTGACTACCTAGAGCCTTTACCCCTGCTGACTAGTGCTTGTCTTAGAAGGTACTCTGCATGGTACCAAAGGACAATGGAAACATCAGCTGAGCTCGAACCCTGAGCTCTACAGTGGTGCCCTGCTCCATGATCCACTGTGCAATAGTGGTACAAATGCTGTGGGAGTAGCCTACCACTGTCCCATTGGATCTAAGAGCCACTCCGTGAAACCCACTCCTAACACTGCTAAAGTGGCCAAAATACTAAGATAGGCCATGGCCTAGGGTAAAATCAAATATGATTCTGCCAAAGAAATTTAACGACAAAATGGCTCCTTCTGATATCATGCTATGTTCATAGATCAGTCGCTCACTCAGCCATCATCAGAGAGGCTTCATCTTGCAGTAGATGGGATCCAATATGAAGACCCACAAATGAACAATGTTCAGAGTGAGACTTGGGGACACTCAGGCCTAAATGGGATGTCTTCATCAAACCCTTCCACTCAGGGATCAGCAATCTATGCAGAAGAGGAGACTGAAAGACTGTAAGAGTCAGCAGGAGGGAGTACACCAAGGAAACCGTGTCTTCCAGACACAGCGGGACTAATGAACTGACAGGGCCTGTGTGTGGCAGCATACACAAGCCTATACAGGGCTACACCAAATAGGATCCCAGCACTGAGAGGTGAAAGTAGAAACACATTCCCATCTCTAACCAAGTAGCTGTCTCCAGTGAAGTCTCACTGGGTATATAAAATACACTTAAAGCCAGGCCCAGCAAAAGACGGCCAAGCAAAATAAATTCAATGATATTTTTGTATACTTTGTGTCTCATATTAGTCTGATTGGGTATTTTTTAATCTTAGAGTCTTTTGTTTATACATTAAGGTTTATGACTTTCAGTTTTTATGCATGTGTGAGTGTGTGTCTTTTGATTTTTCCTTTTTTGTTTTATTCTGGGTTTTTTTGGTTTTTTATTTGCCTGTTTTCTAAAGATATAAAGAAAGAAGGCACGGAGTTTAATGGGTGGGGAGGTGGGGATGATCAGGTGGAAGGATTGAAAGGGGAGTTGATCACAATATGTTATAGGAAGAAATTTATTTTCAATACAGACTAGTGGAATATGTGCTGTACATACTAATATGAAAATATTACAAAATGTTCCATGATACAAAATAAATCGAGTGCAAGCATATAAATTTATGTGTATATATATATATATATATATATATATATATATATATATATGTAGTACACTAAAGTACATACATGTGTCGGGCATGGTAGCATATACCTGTAATCTCATTAATTAGGAGGCTGAAGCAAGAGCATTCCTCGTTTAATGACAGCTATACAGTGAGTTTGGGACCAGCCTGAACCACATAGAAGCTATTGTCTCAAAACAGAAAAAGAAAAAGGGAAGAAATTATTTGAAATGGAGAAATCTTTTTGAATACCATATATTCCTATACAGTTTATATTTATATAAGAATTATTTATCATTTCAGTAGTTACTTAAAGTAAGTGTATTTTAAAGATGTTACAGATCTTATTGCCTTTGAACATTGTCCCTATTTTGGGACATATCCCTATTTTGAACATGTACTATTTTTCGTTTTATATGTTTATTTATTGAAACAGGGTCTTACTATATCTCTGGATCTTCTGGAAATCACTATGTAAATCAGGCTGGCCTTCAACTCACAGAGATCCTCCTGTTTCTGCTGCACAAGTGCAGGGATTAAAGGTGTGTGCCACCATGAACAGCTTGATTTTATTATTTCTAACTATGTGACTATAGGAGAGTGAGTGCACATGAAGGCCAGTGATGGAGGAAGGACATTGGTTAAATAAAAAGAAACTGCTTGGCCCTCATTGGTTAGAAGATAAGTGGGAGGAGTAAACAGAACAGAACACTGGGAGGAAGAGGAAGTAAGCTCAGACTCCACAGCTCTCCTCTCGGGAGCAGATGCCTCAGAGAGACGCCATGCTCCCAGCTCCCAGGCAGACGCACGCGATGAAGCTCCGACCCAGGATGGACATAGGCTACAATCTTCCCGGTAAGCGCACCTAGGGGCGCTACACAGATGATTAGAAATGGGCTAAATTAATATGTGAGAATTAGCCTAGAAGAGGCTAGATAGAAATGGGCCAAATAGTGATTAAGTGAATACAGTTTGTGTGTTGTTATTTCGGGCATAAGCTAGCCAGGCAGCCGGGGTGCTGGGGACGCAGCCCTGCTGCTTCTTATTACTACAGGCCAGAAAGGGGTGTTGGATCCCATTGGAACCCGAGTTATAAGTGAGTAAGAACTGCCCAATATGGGTTCTGTGAACCAAACTCTGGCCCTCAGCAAGAGCAGAGTACACTTTCAACCACTGAGCCATCTCTCCAATTCCTTAAATAAATAATTTTAAATGTATATCAGAATCCAGAAGCTTCATATCCTATTTACCCAAACCTACATAGTTCAACAGAATTCACTGGATAAGGGCTATAAAAATGCTCAGTTTATCAGCTGTGGTTATCTTGAGTTATATGATACATTTACTTTTTCTTCATTTTTTAATATCTAAACTCTCACAATGAATTTAAGCCTCAGCACCAAAAAAGGTGAATCTGATTATGTCACTTTCAAAAGACTGATGTACTTTCCATAAAAATCAGCAAAATGAAGACAATTTTGAACTTGTTATTGTTCATTACAGTTGTTCTTAGTATAGTTTTAATATTCATATGTGTGTATGTGTACATATGACATATGTAATGCATGTATATATGTGTATGATGCATTGCATGATGTGTGTTCATGTATATGTGCATGTGTTCATGTGTGTGGGTGTACTGTGGTGTAGCAAGCATGTGGAAGTCACAGGACAGCCTTAGGTTGCATGTTGGTCCTTACCTTCTTCTTTGCCTGAAACAGGGTTTCCTTGCTATTTTCTACCACTGAATAGCCAGGCTAGGTGGTCTGTGATATTCCATGAATCCTCTAGATGAAAGTTCTAGACATGTATTCCACTGCTCAGTTGTATTTTACAGCACTACCAAATATGTATTGGTCCTTAAAATTATTCTAGTACTGTGACGCCATTAGACAAGGACACTTAATAGCTGATAATATTATTCTAGGTACCAGGCCAAACATTTTTGCATGTACTCAGTTCTCACAAGGTTACTGTGCCACTAATGAACTAAGAAGGGTTGATGACCAGGTATATTAACTCTCAAGTTCTAAGACAGGATGTGAACCTAACCTATCCAATGCATAAACCTGCACACTTGGCCAAGATTGGTGTTGCATGCCCACAGACCCAGCTAGATGGGAGTTTGAGAAGAAAGGATTAATTAAATCTAGGAGTTAAAGGCCATCCTGGGCAATACACAATTTCTTCCTTAAATATGGTAACTGGGTGGGGCTAAGATTCTAATAAGAAATACTAAAAGCTAAAACTCACTAACTAAAATAAGAACATACAACCTTTCATCTGGTGTTTCACTTTATTACTGTTGTGTATGTACATGTGTATGTGTATGTGGGGATGTACCACAGTGCACACGCAGAGGTCAGAGGACAACTTTTCATACTCCACTTTCTTAAAAGCTTTATGTTGGTCCTGGGGAATAAACTCTGATCACCAGACTTGCAAGGTAAGCTCCTTACCTAATGAACCATCACTACAACTGATTTTTCATTTTAATAACACATTTATGACTGCATTTCTTTTATTATTGTCCTTGCTGTCTTGAGGCAAGGTTTCACTATAACTAAGAATGATCTAGAATTCACTCTATAGGTCAGAGTCCTCAAACTTATGGCAGTCCTCCTACCTTGGCCTCCTCAGTGCTAAGATTACAGGAGTAAGTCAGTATTTCTTCTCTTTATTTTTTCCTTTCTTTCTTTCTATTTATTTATTTACTTATTTTCAAGACAGGGTCTCACTATACAGCCCAGGCTGGCCTGGAACTCACTGCCTCCAAAGTGCTAGGATTAAAGACCTGTGCCACCATCCCTGGCTCTTTTATTGCTTGTTTGCTTCTTTTTTAATATATACCTTCACTATGTTATGCTAACCTCACACTTGCAATCTTCTTTCAGCATCTTGATTATAATCATGTAACACCAGCTTACCAAGTTCTATATTTTATGAACTTGATTCATGTGTCTATATGTTGTTCCAAACTACCAAGATTTGTGATGCTACAAATAATAATAAATCACCACCTATTGATCAACCTCATCATCCCTCAGGTGTGTAACTTCATAAACATGCTATGTCCTTTTCATGATAAATCTGAGGGTCCCTTATCCTCAGCCTCACTTCACAACGAGTCTTACCTGCAAAATAATCATGGTGAGAGACAATGTACAAATCATGTCCTTCCTGTCCTTCTTTAAACACATCTTCGAAGGCTTTTGGTGGATTCACAATGTCACTAGCAGACAGCTCTGAAGAAAGAATCAACAAGATCAATATTAAGGGTTCCTGTCTATTTGTTGTGTATAGAAACTACATCAAATGACAAGTGTAGTCTGATAGTTTCATAAGCTGCACAGAACACCTTGGCGATCTCATAGCCAATATAAGTGAATATTTATCACCAAAAAACAAGATAAGCTAGACATAATGGCACATGCCTAGATTCTCAGCACTTCAAGGTAGAGGAAAACCAGGACTTCAAGGCCAGGCTAAACTATATAGTGCATTTGAGGCCAACATAGGCTACATGAGACCTTGTCCTAAAAGAGAGGAGTGGAGAGGGAGACAGGAAAAAGGGAGGAGAAAGAGGGGAAGGGGGGAAAAGTGAGGGATGGAGGAAAAGAAAGAAGAGGGGAGGAGAGGAAAGGGGGGGAAGGAAAAAGGGGAGAGAATGAGTCTATGTATCATTTTTTGCTGTAGATCCCTGAAAATTCTGAAGATCAGAACTCTACTGGAACCATTCAAATTTATCCTCCCCCATACTTCAACTCCAGGTAAGTTCTCACTCCTGAGATTCTAGACAATTTTGGCTTACATTTATTCCCAACTTCTTAAGAGAATGCAAGCAATTTTGAATTACAAATTAGCAAAACTGGTGTATAAATTTCAGCAGCTGTAACTTGGAGCACAAATATTCAGTCTGTTTTAATATGAATCTCCATTCTCATCATAGCCGGAGATAACAGGGAACTCATGGAGTTGAGAAGAAATTCCTCTTCCCACAAACCAATCCTCATTCTGCATACTGTCTTCTTTCACTTACTAGTCTTCGAATGCTGGGGGTTGAATGTGGGACCTTATGCCTGCTAGGCATGCCCTCTAACATGAAGCTGTGTCTCTTCCCCTTGGTTTTTTTCCAGACAGGACCTCGATTGATAGACATATCTCCCAGGCTAAGCTCACACTTGAGATTGTCCTCCCTCAGCCACTTGAATGCCAGGACTACAAGCATATTCTCCATCTCAGTTTGAATTAAAAGTATCTCTCACAGGTTCATGTGTTTGAGTCGTCACCCTGCTAGGAGCACAGTTTGGGTAGGCTGCCAAGTAAGTGGGTTGCTGGGCACTAAAGCCCAGCCCCACTCTACCCTCTACTTTCTCATCCATGAACATGTGGGGCATGCCAGCTACATACCTCAGCTGCCATGAACTCCACCATGCCTTCCCTAACATAAGGAGCTATGTCCTCTCAAAACTTGAAACCAAATAAACCTTTCCTTAAATTGGTTCTGTCACTTATTCTGCCTGTCACTGTAACAAGAATGGTAGCTAATGGATTACTCAAAATGCCCAGATTACTCAAAACACTATTTTAAAAAAAAAATTTTCTTGTTTGAGATAGGGTCTTGGTGTACAATGTGTTGCTTTCATTGGTTGAATAAAGAGACTGCTTTGGCCTTTTGATAAGGCAGAAACTTAGGTAGATGGGAAAAACAGAACTGGGTACTGGGAAGAAGAGCAGAGTCGGGCAGATGCCATGAAGCTCCGGCCCAAGATGGACGTAGGTTAGGATCTTTCCCCAATAAGCCATGACCTCACGGTGCTACACAGATTACTAGATATGGGTTAAAGCAAGATGTGAGAGTTAGCCAAGAAGAGGCTAGATTTAATGGCCAGGTAGTGATTTAATTAATACAATTTTTGTGTGGTTATTTCGGGGTTTAAGTTAGCTGGGTGGCAGAATGCAGCCTGCTCCTCTTACAACAGGGTCTCAGGATGCCCTTAAACTCCTGATCTTCCTACCACTGCCTCATAGATGCTGCTATTAAAGACTAATGTTGTAGTGCCTGGCTACTCACTAATCATCTTTTAAATGTAACCCCACTCCCTCTTCACATGTCCTGTCAGCCTGTTAATCTAGATTAGTATGTTAATCTCAAAAGTCTGTTTTGACTTTTCTGTCAGGAACTGAATGAAGTCTGTGAACTAGTAGATAATGACATCAGAACCTGGGGATAGAGCTGGATGATAGACTACCTGCCAACCTTGTATGAGACCCCAGGGCTAATCTCCAGCAATGTGATGAACATATGTACACAGAGAGAGAGAGAGGGAGAGGGAGAGGGAGAGAGAGAGAGAGAGAGAGAGAGAGAGAGAAATCATGTTCAAAATAATATGATAAAAGCCACTGTGACAGCACATGCCAGCAATCCAGGAATTCATTGGGCAGAGTTAGGAAATCTGAAGGTCCAGGTCAGTCTGGGCTATGCAGTGAAATCTTATCTTAACAAAAATTAAAGATACCTGGGGATGTAGCTCAGAGTTTGTAAAACACTTGCATTACTTCTTCAAGGCCCCAATTTCAAACCCAAGTAGAGGAAAATGCCCTATAAAACACTACTTGAAGATTTTTAGATGTTTGTTTCATTTTTAACGTACAAAAACATTGTATGTCTCTTTCGTGGAATAGATATCTTGAATGATAATTCAAGCCCCACATTGTAGCTTACATCTATAATCTTAATGTTTGAGAAATAGAGACAGAATCAATGTGAGTTTGAGGATGGACTCCAGAGTAAGTAAGAGCTCTTGTCTTGAAAACACAAAAAAATAATAATTAAATTGAGGATGACCACTTAGTTGAACTCAAGGATGACTATGGCCTTCAAGTGTTCTGACAGAGATTTTCTGTGTTCATATTTCAGGGTCAAACTGACTAGCGTGGGAATACTGAGGGTGCAAGTGGGGTGCTCCACATCTTTAATCCCAGCACTCCAGAGCAAGAAGCAGATGTAGTTTTAAGAGTTTGAAGTCAGCTTGGTCTACATAATAAGTGCCAGGCCTGGCAAGGCTACATAGTGAAAGGGGCCCTGTCTCAAAAAGAAAGAAAAAAAGAAAGGAAGAGAGGAAGGAAGGAAGGAAGGAGAAATACAAATAAAGCAAAACAAACATCTAGAAAACCCCTGTAAGGTTCTCACAGAGGGTTCCAATGGAAGTAATAATGGCCTATTTTGCTTTCAGGGATTCAATGAAGCAAACAGAAACAGTACTTTTTGGATGTATGAATCATTATGCCCATTGATACACATTCTGAAGCATTGGTTTGGGAGTTTTGTTTGTTTGAAAAGGGGTCTCATGTACAGCCCAGGCTAACCTCTCCCTTGCTATGTAGGTGACGATGCCTTGAATTCCTGGCCCTCCTGCATCCTAAGAGCTAGGATGACAAGGGTCTACCATTACACCCAGACGAGTATTAGAGACTACTTTTTCTATTTAAAAAATGTACACTAATCCTATTTGAACCCCTCTTTGCTGTTCAATTTGCTTTGGATCCCATCTTCATCCACCATTCAAGCAGAGAATCCTGACTTTGTAAGTTTTACCCCTTAATAAATGCCTGTCCATTTCTTAGTTCTTAGCTAGTATGGGATTCCTTTTTTAAGTGTCCGATCTCTCAACCATCACCTCTTAATTTTTTTCCCAGTTAGTCTGTACTTTGACATGGTACCTAGAGAAAGACACACAGAGAATGACTCTTGAAGTACTGCATGTAAAAGTAAAAAAAAAAAATGGTATCTCTTTCCTTCCCTCCCTCTCTTCCACATTCCCACCCTTCTTGCCTTTTTGTCATTTTTTCTTCCTTTTTAGGTTACTTTCTAAATCTAAACCTTTATAGGATTTCTATATGACAGCCAAGGCAGTAAAAAACCAGGTTTTGCAGTGGAGACACAGTTGAATACAGCAGATATAATACAGTGACAGGAGAGACTCAGAAACAAGCATCAGAATCGACTGAGGGTCCCTGGATAGCTATCTATGTCGAGCTGTCTTTTTCTTAGTTACTGGTGATCAAGCTCAGGTCCTTGCATACCTGTGTGTTAATCTAATGGGGCAGAGTATATCTTCAACTTTCATTGGAAAGAGAGAACCTGAATTAAGGAAATACCTCCATCATAATGGCCTGCAAGCAAATCTGTGGGGTATTTTCTTAATTCATAATTGATGTGGGAGAACCAAGCCTATTATGGGTAGTGCCACCCCTACAAGTGGTTCTGAACTGCATAAAAAAGCAATCCAAGAGGGGTTAGAGAGATGGCTCAGTGATTAGGAGCATGTACTGATCTTCCAGAGGACCAGAGTTGGGTTCTCAGGACCCATATTGAGTGGCTCACACTTATAACTCCTCTGGCCTCATAGGACACCTGAACTCATGTGCACATATCCACACACAGACATACAAATATATAAAATTAAAATAGGAATAAAAAATCCTACTTATATACCAGGTGGTGGTAGCACATACCTTTAATTGCAGCACTCAGGAGGCAGAGGTAGGCAAATCTCTGTGAGTTCAAGACCAGTCTGGCCTATAAGAGCTAGTTCTGGGACAGCTAGGGCTATTACACAGAAAAATCCTGTCACAAAAAAAAAATTCTACTTATAAACTAGGGACACAACTTAGTTGGTAGAGTACTTGCCTAACAGGCAGAAGACCTGGTTGGCCTCCAGCAGCACACAAAGCAGGTAGGGTAGTGCATGCCTGTAATCCAAGCACTCAGGAAGTATAGACAGGAAGATCACAAGTTATTTACCCTGTCTCAAAATAACAACAGAAACAAAAACATTATTTATAAGAACTTTTAAGAATTATATGGGCCAGTTAGATGGCTCAGAAAATAAAGCACTTGTGCAAGTCTGGAGACGTGGGATAGAGCATGGGAGCCCTTGTAAAGTAGCACGCCTATCATGCACATGCGCATATGATGATGACGATGATAGAGACAGCTGTAAATATATTAAAGAGTTCACAGTAGCCTGGAATGGACTATAACAAAGGTCTATTTATTTGGGGACAAAACTCACAGTAAGGATAGAGATTTGCAGTCCTCTGTGTGTGCTGGAAGCTGGGAACCAAATCCAGCAGAAAAAGGTACTGTGCACAATTTTTGCCTGTGCTTATGGTATCTCAGACCATGCCCAAAATGGGCAGATATGTAAAAGAATATTGGCTGAAGGAGTTCCCATAACAC